TCCAGTTTTCAGTGTCACATGATCCTCCAGAAATCATTGATTCTATTATGCTTATTTGTTGCTCAAGAAACATTTCTTATTATTATCAACGTTGAAAATAGTTGTGCTGCTTAATTTTTTTTTTTTTTTGTGGAAACGGAAACATTTTTTAGGATTCTTGAATAGAAAGTTCAAAAGAACAGCATTTATTTGAAGTAGAACTGTAAATGTCTTTACTGTCACTTTTGATCAATTTAATGCATCCCACAAATAAATAAAAATATACAATAAAAAAATGACCCGTGAAAGAATGCCAGCTTCTCCATATACACAAAGTGACTCACACTTTCGTGGATGGCCCGTCTGTTGGAGGGCTGCACGAGCACCTTGTGTCCAGCTGCTGTGATCTCCCTGACGTGTCGTGGAGCCAGAGGCGCGCGTCTCTCCCACACGTTGACATCCTCGCGGCGGATGGCAATGACGCTCTTGTGATTCTGCTGGTGATGATGGTGATGCTGAAACCTCCGCTGACAACACACACAGCCCCTAAACACTCGGCCCTGGCTCCTCACGAGACGCAGCATGTCTGGACCAGTTTCCAAAACACACAGGTTACAACAACTACACACATCTGAAAATCACACTTGAGGAATGCTGAGAGTGATAGAGGTACAAACATAAAAGTGACCCCAGAAACCCAGTCTATGGTTTGCAAAGGAGAGGACTGCATTTGAACCAAGTCAAGTCAGTTTTACTTTCATACCACTTTTCAAATAGCTTAAAATAAGTATAAACTGAAAATAAATAAATAAACAAATAAAACGGACATAACATCTTAATATCTGACATAACATTATTAAAATATATTTTTATTATAAACATTATTAAATAAATACAGTTCAGCAATAATTCCACTCTTAATCCTGACTCTTCCAGCTGTTTAATTATATAAAACTAGCAACATCTAATGCTCCATTTCTGTACATGCTGTAGTAGCATGTCATATGATCACACGAAACCAGCAGTAAACTGACAGCACCTGGAATGAGGTTTGCATTCTTTAGGAAAAAATGACTGTAACACATGGCACACTAAGCTGTCAGTAAAACATGCATGTACATAAACCGGGGCTAGTTGTCACACTTTTTACCTGAGTGAATATTTCTCAGAGTGAGGTTATTTTTTAAAGTCTGAACTTTTTAGAGTCACACACTGAGCTGTACGTCAATGAATCAATAAATCAATCAATAAAAAGCAGCTATTGAACATATCCACTGTTATTAGACAGTGGGGCATGTTGTCACACTAAACTGTCACAACAGGAACTTGCTTTAAAAAGAATACTATTTTCGAATATATCCTAAATAAATTTAAATAGGTTACTAAAAAATAGTTATTTAAAATAAATTAGTAGGCTTTTTAAAATAACATAAAACGCCTTAATGAAACTCAAACATATAAACCTCAAGTGACAACATACCCCAACCTGACATTTATGAAATGAATACTATTTTCGAATATATCCTAAATAAATTTAAATAGGTTACTAAAAAATAGTTACGCCTTAATGAAACTCAAACATATAAACCTCAAGTGACAACATACCCCAACCTGACATTTATGAAAAATACCCTTAACCTTTCAGTTAAAAAGTCCGTTCACTGTTTAGTTTGAAACCAACATAGAAAACCACTATGAGGAAAAACAAACACGCAGACATTTGGTTGACATCCTGCTGTTTATAAGCAACAATTGTCAGACTGCATGTTGAGTTCATCTGATACATGTCATCACCTACCTGTACCTTCAGATTTAAGCAGTTTCCTAGCACCTATAACGTGGCACCGGCTGAATAATCACATTAACGTGGTGTGAAATGCACAAGAGGTTTATATATAAACTGTCGCCGCAGCTTTTATGAGCGACTGTGTCGCGTAAACGTGAATGGCGGAAGAATAAAGGTACGGGATTGACCTTTTTCGAGACTTCAGGCTAATAATGTGGCGCTAACTAAACCTATCCATCCGGTATAGATTACAGCACAGACATTTGTTTCTGCCTGGAATGCGTCTCCGCTTCAGTGAAGTAATCTGAGCCCTGGATTAACTCCCACCAATCCCGACTCAGAGCGCGGATCTGCCTCCTCGCGTGCCCTTGACGTCGCGTCGCAGCTTGATGACCGAGTAGCGTGAGGAAACACAGACCCCTCCCCTTTCTTTCTTTCGCTGCCTGGCCTGCTGCTGCTATAAATACTGTGGTCGCAAGGACAGATGAGCTAAAATATGCGCTTTCAGTTTTGTTTGTTTTTTTCTTTCTTCAACTTCATAAAAGATACCCCGCTATGTTAACTAGATTTGAAGTTCCTGAAGCAAATAAGACGCGTCTCGATACTCCTGGCTGAAAAACACCATTGTTTTAACTGGCCTACCAACCTGGTCTGGCTTGCTGGTTTTACAGGGGTTTTGGCCATTTTAAACTGGCCAGGCTAGGAGATCATCTTGCCGATCAGAAACCAGCTTGGCCAGGGAGCAAATACCAACAAATCAGTTTCCCCCCTTATATTCTTAAAAGTTTTTGTCCTTTGTTCTGTGTAAACCCAATTTTTACAGTCGTTTTGAACGCTCGTGAGAACAATAATCAACATATAACACGACACCGAGTCAGTGGTGTATAAAGTACCTGAAAGCCATAGTCAAGTAAAAGTACAGATATCTTACCAGAAAATGACTTTGGTAGAAGTTGAAGTCACCATTTAGAATATTACTCGAGTAAAAGTCTTAAAGGGGTCATATGATGCTTTTTTAAAGATCATTATTTGGTGTAACAGAATATGTTGACATGCTTGCACAGATCAACACTTCAAAAATCGACCTGAATAGACCATCTGGGGACTTTTGGCATACTCTTTTCAACATACTATGCTTTGGGACACACTTATTCTAATCTCACATAGCCTACTATTTAGGATGGATAGTATGAACATTGAGACACAGGGAATGACTGTGTTAACGAGTGAATCACTGAATCATTTATTCAACCGATTTCCCATATTATCGCAGACGATGCTGTATCGCACAGCACACCCCAGACTCGACTTGAGTGGAAAATGAATTATCTACAGACGGCAGACCACTGATTCGTCAAACCTGCTTTCCTGCAGTCCGTGTTCTTCTGACTTCTGACTATTTTGTAGAAAGTAACAAATATGCGTCGGGGAAATGTATCGGAGTAAAAGTATACATTTTAATTAGGAAATGTAGTGGAGTAAAAGTAAAAGTTGACTGAAATATAAGAACTCAAGTAAAGTACAGATACTCCCAAAAAATACTTAAGTACTGTAACGAAGTATTATTACTTCGTTACATTATACCTCTGCACCGAGTGTAGATGTATGAAATAGAAATAGATTAGGACAGAAAGACTAATCAAAATTCAGTACGTAAATAAATGCAAGACATTTTTTAAATCATTATTTTTGGGATGGGAGCCTTCCTTAAGTTGTCTTACAGTATAAAAATCCATAATAATAATAATAATAATAATAATAGAAACTGAAGTTTTACAAAAATGTACAAAAAGTTTGAATTTAATTTGAATGTGTTCATTTTTGCAGAAAATCGGATAAGAAGAATACAAAGATGAGTATCAATACACTCAGAAAAAAAGGTACAAGAGCTGTCACTGGGGCGGTACCTTTTCAAAAGGTACACTTTTTAGGTACTAAAATGTACACTTTAGGTACTAATATGTACCAATATGGACTCTTTAGGTACGAAGGTGTGCTTAGTTATACCGTGCTGTCTTGCAAGTCGCTCACATCAGATAGGGATATTTTAGCATTTAGAGAATATTTAGATAATATAATATTGGGAGCTGTTCAGTCTTGTGGTGCTGGAGTAGTTTATGGCCCCACTCCATTCCCATGCCTCGAGATCTATTTATTAAAAGATTTAAACCAAATCATTGTCATCTACACTGCAATAAATCCTCACTAATACAAGCCCTTTGTTTTAAACATTAATACGTGAAATATAAAATAAATGTACAAGCAACCTTTTTAAATCTGACCAGCTGCCCCTGAGCTTTGGCATGTTTTTGGCGGAATATTCTCAGCACCTGTTTAGTACCATTATTATTGCAATGGCATCTTTCCCATACAGTAAATTTAAATTTACCGGTTGTATACTACAGTATATATATTTTACAGAATATTTCCCTTTTTAGTTTCGTCCACTAGAGGGGGCATTTTCTCTTCATAATGTGCGCAGTCTCTACAGATACAGATTGCTGCAATTCAGTTAGTGCTAGTAAAGAGTACCCGAATTATGATACTACTGATTATGGCATTTTTTATTTAGTTAAACTGAAATATGGGATATCCGTCATTGCATAGACCTTAATGGATATTGCTTGACAAGAAAGGACGCTGAAACTCTCCCTTTGCATATTTATCGATCTTTCAGAAATGATCTATTATTTCCAAGAGTCTTCTTTATAAAACGCGTCTTACATGCGTATTCAGAGAGAAATATATATATAGCATAAGATATGTTTTATTTATTTTGATCCCCCCCCCTTATCATATGCTTTATAATCTTTTTGACAGATCAGATGCCATTGGAAATTTACAACAAACCTTGCATATATATTCACATTGATTTAACAAAACGTTTACAGTTGGCAAACAGTATAGCTAATACAAAGAACTGTATAAATAATAAACATATAAAATGGGGTTTAAAATACACAGCGGTCACGAGAATTAATGTTCCATATACGGGTTTCGATTACTCTCTTTAAGTTAATCACAACAGTAGTTTTAAATAAATAAGACTGTCGTTACCCTGAGAGTAAAAAGACTCATGTAATAATCTACCATTCACAGACGAGCTTCAACAATGATGACGGTCGCTCAAAATGATACAAATAATAATAAAAATACATAAAAAAATAAATAAAACGTTGCATGCGCGATTAGATTCTTTTTTCTCGGAGCATTTCCCCCGAGACGCAGAGGAGTTTCACTGCAGGTTCGCAGTGGGGGTCGATGGAGAGCGGGGTCCTGGGGAACTGTCGTGCAGTTTCCTAATGTGTTTCTTAAGATCAAAGTTCCTGCAGAAACCCTTGCCGCATGTCGGACAGGTGAAAGGCTTCTTGTCGTTGTGCGTGTGCATGTGAAATGTGAGGTTGTACACCTGGTGGAAAGCTTTGTTGCAGATATTGCACTTGAACTGTTTTTCTCCGCTGTGGGTCAGTTTGTGGTTCTTGTAGTTTCCTTGAAAACAAAACACTAAATGTGAGAATCCAATCCCAAAAAACATGCCACAAAACAATACATATTATTTTCTATATCTAGGCCTATCAATCGTTCTGTGTATCTAAATCGCAGGTTTTGTCAATTAGCCTAGGCTACACGATAAATATAAAATGCCTTTAGAACAGCTACCTTTCTGATGAAATCCTTTGCCGCAGAATTCACAGATGAAGGGTTTGTATCCCGCGTGAATTCGTGTATGAGTGTTGAGAGTTGAACTTCGGTTGAAAGCTTTGCCACATTGGTTGCATTTATGCGGTTTTTCCTGCAAACAAATGGATAAGAAACGTTATGGCACGCAATAAAGCTAAAGGCTGAAAAATAGGCTGTTTTACTTTTACGAGATATTTCTATGATATTGTGATAAACTGGTTCATTACAACTACAATACACTGATAAACGGAAATGAGTCCGAAATGATATTTCATTATTATTTTTTTTTTATTGTTGTTGATAATTATTTGTATTATTATTCTTAATAATAATAATAATAATTATTATTATTATTAATAGAGGTTGCGAATTTTTCCGTTATTATATAATTATTTTGACATTTAGCTTACAGATTATGTTTAATTTAAACCATTATCTCATAAAAAAAAAAATCCAAAAACGTCTTAAGAAATAAATCTTCTAATAGAGAGAGAGAGAGAAAATATAAAATGCCCCCTTTTATTCCATGATTTTATTCTAAGATTTTTTTTTACTTGAAAATTGCAATGTATTACATATAGGGCTATTTACCCATAAAATATAACAGAAATTGCAAATTAGTAGTTCACTGATTTTTCAAAGATGTAAATAAAACAGCTACTAGAGTAGGCTACGTTTTTCAAGAAAATGCCATTTCAGTTTTTTTCTACTTCGACATTTCACATTTAATTCAATGCTTCTTTGTAGGATAATTGTGAAATTTACCAGCAAATGAAAATTGTTTCTACACCTTTTCAGTGTAGGTTCAATAAATTGATTTGAGATACAAATGTAATATGATTGAAATAGTTATTTGTAAAATCATGCGCATGATTACCTGAGTGTGGATTATTTTATGGCGACACAGAGTGCTCGCTTGTCTGAATCCTTTGCCGCACACTTTGCAGACGAACGGTCTGGCGCCCGTGTGAACCGGCATGTGACGCGTTAAATTATAGTGCGCGTTGAACACCTGAAAATCGCAAATTGTGTTAAAAAAAGAGGATGCAATCTGTGCTAAAACAGAAGATCGATCTCGCTTGTCTCACCTTGCCACAAACTTCACAGGTGAACACCTTTGGTTTGGTTTGAGGAAAGCCGCTGTTTAATTTGGCCGCGGAGTTCTTGAACAACTTCTCCGACAAGATGTGCGCGCTCTCCTTCATGTAATGGTGCAGGTGAGAGTGAGAAAGCTCCTTAAAAGACACGCCGGGAGGGGGACACCTGTCCGCAGCTGCGCCCGGTTTGCACTTCTCCGAGGAAAACAGGCTCTTCTGGCGCGCGTGCAGCGGCGTGTTGAGGAAATACGACGCCATGGGGTGCAGGTTCACCAGACCCGCGTGAGGCGGACAGGCGCTTTCCCCGCAGTTCAGGTAACAGACGGCGGCGCCCATGGCGTGGAACGACGACTGGTTGACCACGCGCGGCCGGAAGAGTTTGTACTGTCCGATGGCCGGGGTCGCGTCTTGCTGCTCGTTCTTGTAATTCAACCCGATGCTTAGCAGCTCATTCGCGTTGTAGGAAACAGCGTCAGAGTGGTCTAATCCATTGACGTGAAGTTTATGAGGCGGCTCGCAGGCGAGCGGCATGAGGGGGATCATGCAATGCAGCGGGGCGGGAGACTGCTTGGGTTCCGCTTTCCCCACGGGAGCGTGGAACAAGTTCGGGAACGGTATCGACTTTGGTTCGGGCGTCCTGGCCATAATCCTTTCGATCGAAAAAGCGAGAGGTTTGGAGCTCGCGATCATGCTTCCTCCCGTCGAAGCCGAAGGGGCGCCGAATATTCCCGCTGAGTGGTACAGCGCGCTGTCCATGACTTGAGCGCAACACCTGTACCCGTGTCCTCCTTTTGTAGATAAGTTTGATTCCTCTCAGTGACCCGCAAGAAAAGACATCATCAAGCGCAAAGGCCCCCCTGGCTGCTCCGCTGCTTGTCAATTGCGGACAATCAGCACTTATGTCCGCCCCGGATTGCTCAATAAAGAGTGTTTTGTCAATAGCGCAACTCAGGGCTCACCACGCGCGCACGTCAAAGACACGCAAAGCAGCCCAGATGCTCGATTTAGTTATATCAATCACTACAGCGGCTTTTCTCTCTCTCTCTCTCTCTCCCTGCACTTGTCCTACACACTGCTGTGGGTGACTAACTCAAGAAGGTGCTCTTTATTAGCACTGTAAAGCGCTGGGCGAATCTCCGGTCCCCTCGCGCCGCGCTGTGACATCATTACCTCGCACAAGATGACAGGCGCGCGCATGCATCATGTTTGTCAACATCTGACATATGAAAACTCCTGAATTACCTGATTTGAAACCGCATTCACACGTTTTTTTTGTTGTTGTTGGACTGGAAGGCGATATTATAATAACATAGCCTACTTTATTTACTGTTTTTTTTGGTCTGAATTAAAGCGAACGCAAATTAAGACTGAATAGCACTGAATGGACACGATATTTGGATTTAGCGATTTTGTTTAAACGTCAGTGTTTTCTGGATGTAATAATCTCATATTTATCAGATGCAAATTCATTTACAAATCTACAACGTTTCCCTAAACTGATGTTTGAAACCATAAAACTGAATTGTAATACTAGCAGAAAAAACATGAACATTTTCTGCAATCAAATTTACTTGTTAAACAATATTTCAATGTAAAACAGAAAATATATAGGATATATATAGAAAATATATAGGATAGCCTATATTAGATAGGACAGTAATAATTCATAATTATAATAATAAACATTATTATATTTTTAATTTTATTATATTTATAACAAATACCTATAACACTAAAAACACAACAGTATTGAAGTAAACTTAAAACAGTATGTTTTAAATTCACAGGCGAGTGTATATTGTCCTGTTCATTTCTATTTTTATATGAAGTCTTATAATGTCACCTCAGGGGGCTGTTGGTCATGTATGATCGTAATATTCCCCTGTAGTTAATTTTTAATTGGTTAAACTGTTGGTGTTCCAGCTTCACCCCGTGTTACAACACTTCCCAGTCTCCACAGTGTTTAAGCGCTCGATTCCAACAGCACCTGTTATCTGATTTGGCCTACAGTGAATTCACAGATTGTTCCCCTATTATGTGTACATATAATTTAATGTAAATGATAAGAAAATAATTATTTGTTATGCTTTCGCGTCTCATTAATGAAACTTCACGCGACCATTCCATGGTATTTTGCCATCGCGCGCCACCTCAAGCACACACAGGGAAAAAAAGGATTATGAAAAGCTGTATTTCGCATCAGACGACCTTCGTTTCCAAACGCAAACTCGTGAGGACATTCATCTGGGAATTGTGCGCCAAACGAGAGGTATTAACAGCAAAACGCCTCCAAGGAGCTGAGATCATGGCCATGAGAGAGAGTGAGAGAGGCGCGCGGCTTACAGTCAGTCCGCGAGCGCAAGCAGAGATGAGAAGTGGCAGCTCGGTGTGAAATCCATTTGACACTCATTTGATGCGAAGACATTTTTCGTGAAGGATTATTCTGTTTAAAAGGTAACATATAAATGGAAAATATGTGCGTCGATGACAAATCGTGGCTTTAAAATATTTTTGTTTATTAGTATTTATTCTCAAATATACATAATCTCGTTTTTTTATAAAATGGTTATTGACGCTCGGCAGTAAGATAAATGCGCTAAAATGATCATGTTTGTGTTTTCAGGGCGACTTTAGAACATTGATAATTTTGACTGCTGTTCAATTGGAAGCAGATGGGTGTCAAATAACCTGCAATTTGAAGCTTTTTCACATAATAAGCAGGCGTCTGTTGTCATATGCTGCTCCTCAGATTTCTTCAGCTGGGCGAAGGCAAAACGAGAAAAGAAATCCTCTGTAATCATATCACGGCACAAATGCATCTTAATATTTGTTTCGTTTTGCTTTACGTTTGTATTTCGAGAATGTCATGTTTTTTCGGCGCCCGTATTAAATACAAAAACGCGCTCAATCAAGCGGTAATCTGAATATGAGAAATATATAGGCTATATGTGTCGATAAACTCGGTTTAGCTCATTTTGAGAGTTTAATTTTTATTGACAGTCAAATTATTAGTTATTTGATATGGCTTGGTAAATAATAATTATGATATGCATTTAATTTCCAGTGTCTTTTTTCGCTGCATTTAGTGAAAAGTGCATTTCAGTAAGAAATACAATCGGTATGATTGGATGACCTCACAGTCGCGATTTCTGACACGGAAGCCTTGACATTTTTAACCTCATATTTGGAAAATAATAATAATATATAGTAGCTTATTATACAGTATTTCTTCAAGGTCTCCAGACTAGAAGGCTGAATCGAAATGATCACAGTAACCCCCCCCCCCCCCCCCCCCCCCCCCCCCCCACACACAAACCTAGGGGAAACACTGTAATGTATATTGCTGCTGCCACACATGGGATTTATTTCCCAGATGTTTACCTTCACAGACATAACTGACTGTTTTTTGTAACTTGTGTGTTTTTAACGTAAACTTGTGTGTGAATTAGGGATGTGCGCGACGACTAATTTGACTGTTGTTTAAACGAAAGTTTTGTATCCGACTAGTCGACTAGTCTAAAAGCAAGAAACCCCC